GGAAGAGGTGGTGTGGCTGCCCACGTGCACTATGAGACCAGGGTTTGGAGAGCTCAGCCTCCCTTCTCGCTCCCAAAGATGGGCCCTTTCTGTATTTCTTTACCTCTCTCCATGTGAGAAAGCAGCAGAGCCTGGGTGCACACCCACAGGGGTGAAGGGGGGCTCACAGGAGAGATGCACAGCAGTTAGGATGAAGAACAGGAGTGTTTGAAAAGAGGGATGTAGTGGTGAGGGCAAGAGCTTGAGGATGGCCTCCCTCTCCTTCCTTCCATCTCTGTCTGCTCATTGCTTTCTGCTTGAAATGGGCTTTTCCTTCTCTGTGAGAAGCAGCAGGTGCTCGATGGGCAGAGCAGTGGCTGCCAGGCTGTGAGCAGAGTGGTGTGACTTGCCAGGAGCAGAGGCACTTGTTTTATTTAGCTATTGTGAGCAAGGGGAAAATGAATGTTCATGGAACAAACACTGTCTTATGCCATCCAAGGTGAAAAGACAGAAAAAAAAACAACAGTGCTGCTTAGGAAATGCTTCATCTGCTGATGTGTGAAGTTGCAGGAGCAGCTACCCTGCCTTATGTCTGGGAGTTGGCCACGTGAGGGCCCTTGCTCTCAGGGCTGGTTTGTGTCTTTGACCCACTGCTACCGTGGGGGATATTGCTGTGGGGCACGTGGCCTTGCAAGGAGCATGGGGCCTGGAGCTGGGACAAGGTTGGTTTTGATCTACCCCTCAGCTCACTGAAAAACAAAGAGAAGTTACTTAAGACAAGCTGGCAGTGTTTCTCCTTGCTCTTCAGCATCTTTACCACGATGTCCTGTCCTCCCTCCGGTTATGTTAGCTTCTCAGGAGAGGGACTTGTACTTGCTTTGTTTCTTAACAAGTTTTTGCAAACTTGGGCACCCATGTAAGACAGTCTGCCCTGTAGGAAAACGTATCATCCTGAATGGTCTGTTCTTGGCCATAAGCTAAACCAGGAGGCATGGCTGGCTGCTGTAACACAGAGGTGATATTGAGGTGCCTTGAGGTAATATTTCTGTGTTTTCGGATGTTGTTTTTATCATACCCTGTTCTCCTGCTTTATCTTGTGATGTCTGAAGCTTGTTGTGTTGGTCCTGCAGACCTTCCTGAGAGGACCAAGGACCTAGTATTTAGTGACAGGTTTAGCAGTGTTTATTGTCATGTAGGTTGTTTCCTTTACACTGATGTTTTGTTGGAGTTTCTTTTACCTTTTTCAAGTCACTCTTTTTGTATGATTTATCATTCTTGGTTTCATGTCTATTGAACACAATAGCTTTATGCTCTTACAGTCACACTGTGGTGTGTTGCCACACTTACACAGGAGTTTCCAAGCTTGCATCTACTATAGAAATACAATCTAGACAGCTGCACCTGTTCAGGGCAGACCTGATGTAATTTCACTGTGGTCACTGGAAAGCTTTCAGTGGGCTTCTGCCACAGCACAGCAAGTGGCACAAAACTGCGCATAGGGAGCGGGATTTTCAGCTCTGAGTGTGATGTACCACATAGCAAGTTCTATAGGATGAGATTTGTTTCTTGACTGCTTTATTCTGTCTCATATTCTGCTGTAAAATGTGCTTCCCAGTTTATAGCAAGACTTTTCCTCTCATCTCTTTAAATCTTTTTTAAAGATGCTGTGCCACTTCTTCTGGTTTCCTCAAGCCTTCCCACTTCTTAGGTAGCCATTCTTCCCTTAGCCTGACAGTCACCAATTCATCAGGTCCATCTTCCCAGGCCCCAGGGCTGAGCTCAGCCATGTACCACGGAGTGACCAGGCATCAGTGCTCCTCTGCCCCGTCTGCACTTCATTTGTGCATATTGGGCTCTCCTACTACTGTCTAGTGCAGGATGCTGACATATCCACACAGATGGTCAGATTTGATTCTTTGAATGCAGGAGATCTGCCTTGTATGTCATTGTAGTGTGGGTTTCACTGCATCTGTGCCATGTAGAGAAGGACCTGCAAGTTGCTTGAGCTGTCAGCAATGCTCCTGAGCAGAAGAATACATCACACTTTGAATTACGATGAAAACTTTCAGTATATGGACAGCTGGAAGCTTTCAGAACTCATTGTCTTATTGAACATGATATTTTTAGGTCTTCATTGTTTGTGAAATCAGTGCACAGCTGATTTCAGAAAAGGAAAGAATTTAACCTCACTTTTAGCTTATAGCATTTTGCTTTGATAAGTATTCCAAGTAAGAGGTTGAAAAAATAAATGTCAGGCTTTTTCATTCCAGGGAAAGAATTCCACTTTTAACAGATGACCTAAATCTGAAGTAACTGGAGCCTGGCATTTTTACTTTCCTACTTCAAACATGCCCTCACCGTATGTGATGCTAACCATTATTTTCCAGGATATTGACAGTGAAATAACAAGAGAGAAAACCCAAGTCATTGTTTGTGTCACCATTTGCAAGCATTTCACTTAATAAGCCACAGGAGTCATTAGCGTGGTGGGAAGTTGTGCAAGGAAAATCCCAGGGGCTAAAGAAAAACAAAACCCACTAGACTGAGTGGGGCTGGCTTCAATGGATTTGCTTCCCAGTACCAAATGAAGCATCTGCTCGGAAGTGTGGAACTTGCTGTGCCTGCCCAAAGGTCCGTCTTGGATGTTGTATGGAAGCTAGTTGGAAAGTCAGGGACTTACCTCTGAAGTACGAAGCCATGTATTTCTTCATAAACAGTGTACTTTATGAGACCTAGCCCAGACACTCTGGAGCTCAGAGGTTCCAGAACTCCACCTGAGACCAGAATTCAGTCAAAGGTGTCAGGATTTGCTCATGGCCAGTGACTCCCTACTTCTTTTTCTTGCTGCTGCTTGAAAGTAGCAAGTATACTTGAAAAGTATACTTGAAAGAATAAAGAAAAAATCGGTAGCAATAAAAAAATGTTCTCTATATCATATTTAATTTCTCAACAAAACATTGGAAATAAAACAACAACTAAAAAAAGATCAATAAATTGTTGGAAAATTGGAAGCTTTCTGGTTGCAACTTTGAGCAGCCGTAGGAGAACTTTCCTGTCAGCTCCACTGTTCCCACATTGGGCTTTCTGCTGCAGGCCAGGTGAGAATGCAGTCATCATCCTTTGCCCTTGACTGGAGATCCCATGACCTGTAGTGTTTCCATCTCTAATGTTATTCTCTCGAGGCAGTGTATAATGGAGAAAATACATGCTCAATCTGGAACAAAGTCCACCACTGCCTCACTGGCTAGGAGTGTGAGTACAACACACATCACTTCTGCAGTGAGTAGTTAAATTTGCAATATTTGCTCAGTTTCTGCAGAAACCAGCCCAGCAGAGCAGCTCCACAAGGGCAGCTTCTGAACCAATGTGGGTAATGTGTGCAAAAGGAGATGCCATTTTCTGCTCTTGGGGGAATAGATATGAGGAAGGAATAGAAGAATAAAGTCCTTGGCCCAGGCTTCAAGTACTCTTTTCTAGGATTGCTGGAATCTAAAAGACATGCAGACAAAAGCTGTGAAGTGGATTCACGTCTCTCATGCCACCTCAGCGTGGGAGAATTTCAGCCCTCTTCTGTAGATTTACTGGCAGCCCCTAACAAAGTCATTTGGCAAAAGAAGTCAGGGCTTTGTATCAGCAGCTGGCAGCTCGCCTCCAGATACTTTCCCTGTGTGAGCATTGTTGGCCAGCAAAACGATAGGCATTGAGGGGCACTGTGCCACCACTGTTTGCAAGCTCAGTTTAGAGTTGCTTTCTGGTGTGTTGAAAGCCTGTCTGTGCTTCCTGGTTGGCATCCAGTGTCTGTAGCAGAGCACACTCTGAAAAGCTGTTTGGAAACCACTTTTCTGCTTGACCTAAGTGAGTCTGGTGCGTCCAAAGGGAAAGGTGTCACACTGCACCTTCTTGGTGGGCACAGCGAATCGATGGACTGAGATCGGCCATGACACCCACAGAGCACACTGCTGCCAAAAAGAAAGAGGTGGTGTGTTAGCACATACCACAGTGACACAGGAACCCACTGGGAACAGCACTGGCTGAGTAGTGTTGGGAAGCCCCCGTGGCAGCTCCTGCACTGAGCCCTGCACTGAGGCTGATGATAAAGCTTCATTTCCCACCTCCACCAAGCATGTCAGCCTGGAGAATCTCAGAAGCACCATCTTTGCTCTGACATGATCCTTGTGCAAGGACTTCCCCACGGTGTTTGTGTTCAAAACATCCTTAAGCTTGGAATATACACTGCCATTCACTCCTGGAAAAATTCAAATCATTCTGATTTCATTTCTGCATTGAACTCAGAAATGTTCGGGGCTTTGTCCCTGTCAGAGCTTTACAAAGTAGGGAAGGGAGGGGGAAGCATTTTAATCAGGGTAAGGCTCTTTGGCATTTACCCTATTGAAGCCTGAAGAGCCTCTGAATTTCTGCTGAATAGAGACCTAAGAAAAGAAGTAGATCTGTTGAAGGACGACATTTCAGTGCAAGAAGGATGTGTGCTTAGGACTTTCCATTACATAATGGGACTGATATGGATTAACATGACCCAGGCTTGCTTTTTTCTTGAGAATTGCTGCCTACACCACTTTTTTCTCTGTTACTGCTGCTTCAGGCACAGCACTCACAAAATGGTTTTCTTTGTTACTAGCTAGAGTAGTAAATTACAGCATTGTTTCTGCTGATCAACAGATTGATTACTCAGAGGCCTCTAGCTAATGATGTTCCACATCAGTGTTGAATGCAAGTGTACTTGCAGAGAACAAATGAGAGTAGAGAAGCACCTTGCTTATGTAATGTGCTGCTCATAACGTTTTGTGGGTCTCTGTAGGGCAGCCATCTCATCAGGCCACTGAAGAATAGAAAATTAAATTTCACTGCTTCCATTTGGATGGCTGTAGAATCATGGAATGGCTGGGGTTAGAAGGGACCTCAAATATCACCCAGTTCCAAGTCCTTGCAGCAGACAGGGCTGCCGACCGCCAAATCCTCAGAGTGTGTGACCGGTCCTATTGTGTTTTGTCTGCTCTTTCTAGGTGCTTTCATAATCTGCTGGACCCCAGGACTAGTCTTGCTTCTCCTTGATGTGTGCTGCCCACAGTGCAACGTCTTGGCCTATGAGAAGTTCTTCCTTCTCCTGGCAGAGTTCAACTCCGCCATGAACCCCATCATCTACTCCTACCGGGACAAGGAGATGAGCGCGACCTTCAAGCAGATCCTCTGCTGCCAGCGCAGCGAGAGCGCCAACGGCCCCACCGAAGGCTCTGACCGCTCGGCCTCCTCGCTCAACCACACCATCCTGGCCGGCGTCCACAGCAACGACCACTCGGTGGTGTAAAGGCCCCGCCGGCCGCCCCACCGACGGAGCTGCCGCAGGGAGGTAACCCACTCACAAGATTTTCTCAAACACTAATGGACCTCAAGCGCTTCTTTTCCAGAGAGCCCAGTGCGGCGCTGTGCCGGCATCGCTGTTCGGCGAGGCCTCTGCCTTCTGCTTGCAGAAGGTGGAAAAGCAGAGACCTTGCAGCAGAGCTGGCCCCTGGGGAGCCTCGCTGAGACTTCGTCGGCCCTTGCAGCGCCTTGGTGCCAATCTGAATAAACTGATTAATTAAGCTTATACCTGCTTCACTGCATTTACATGTAGCCACTTAGTCTTTTTAAAAAGGGAGTAAAGGGGATAAAAGTATGCCTTTCATTTAATAGACATGTAATATTTATCACCATCAGCATGCTTTTGATGAACATTTTCTGTGCAGGGAGTAAAACTGTGCTGTAGTCTTCGTATCCTTAGCCACACTGCCATAACTACAGTAAGAGCAAAAGTATTTTTTCTAATACAGGCAACGGGAAGATGATGGGAACTGACTCTCCTTACCTTCGTTACTGGTGTTAGAAAGCATGCATGTTCTGTGTGTATGCGCATTGTTCTAATTATGGGGGAAACAAGCGTTGTAAAGTCTGCAGGAAAGTAGAAAAGCGTAGACTGTATTCCAGTGTTTGTTTAGATTATGAAATAAACAGTACTCTAGTCACAAGGTATTTAATGTTCTTCTTTGAAGTGTGGTATGAAATGTGTAACGTGTGAGGGGTCCCAAGTTTTTCAGGGTCAAGTTCTTATAGGCAGGACACATCTCTAGGACTACAGTCATGTTGGTAAGCCTGAAAAAAAAATGGATTTTTTTTTGCTGATTGAATGCTTTTCTTGCTTATGATGAAAGGGAGTGAGATTTTTGACACGAGAAAAAGCACACTGTTTAAGAAGATACTTGTAATGAGAAACGAAACAACTTCTGTGTCTTGCACTGAGAAATGTTTATGGGGTATCTTTTAGTTTACTTACCTTGCATTTTAAAAGCAGTGGGCTATTAGAAACCAAGGTACAGTTATACTTTGTAAAGTCAAAACCAAATATTTAGTAGCCTATTGCAAATGACTGAACTTTTCTATCTATAATAGCCACACTTGCACATTGTTATGAAAAGCTGAGCTAACAGATGTATTTTTTTTGTATGTGGATGTTTCAAAGAGAAATGCCACTAACATGAATGCCACTTCCCAAGAATCAAAGATGTTAGTCAAAATTCCTTGACAGAAATAAACTGAAGCAAAGATGGGACTTTGCAGATAAAGAACTTGGGACCCTTCCCTGAGAAATTATATTCTTCTAACAATGTAAAATATATCAACGGTAAATTCTTAGCACTGTTTTCCTTATAGAAATATGCCTCTATAGCCAAAAAAAAAAAAAAAAAAAAAAAAAATCTAAAAAAAATCTAAAAAAAAAAAAAATCTCAGAAAAATCTGAGGTGTATCAGTCAGTGTAATGTACTGGAATGTAACATAAGTCACAATATTCTCTCATGTGAGCAGGGAAGAAATGGAGAGGAGAGAATCAACCTACCACAAAGCAGAGTTTTTAGCATCTCTGTTTAGAATCATGGGGGGAAAAAATTGCTTCGAAAAATTTGACTCCACTGGATAAAGTGAGATCTTTGCCACTGCTTTCAGGTAAAACTGAAATTCACTTGTACGGTTGAGCCAAATTTTTAAGAGCAGTGTTGAAGGAGATGTGAGGAAAGGGGATAGAAGAAGCGCTGTCTGCCAGCTGACCGAGGTATCCTGTGTGGCACTTCCTTTGGACAAAGCAGAGATCTTTTTCTGACTGTATAAAAGCAAGTGAATCTGAAGGTTGATTGTGTTTTATTCACATGACTCTACTGAGAAAGAGGAGAACAGGCAGAATTAACTTTTTCATTTAAAAGCATCTGCTTGGTAAGCCACTTATAAATGTTTCACAGTGCCTGGTGATGGTCGGGCTAGTGCAGGTAAGCAGAAGAAAGGAGAGGGGAAGAATGTCTCCACAGAGAGAGGCATCTGAGAAACATATTTGTTTTATTTCAGGAGTGCTCCCTGGATCTAGAGATAGCACCCTTTCGCGTCCCTTCCACACAAAAGAGGAACATCACACACTTTGTTCTGGGGGAGGTTTATATTTTCCCAGCGCCCTTTTAACTGCTCTTTGCATGTTCTTTTCAGAGTGAGCTGGGAGGGTGATGTTGAGAAATAGCAGTAGCTATTTCTACTAGCTGAAAGTGTGGGGTGATGTTGAAGAAGCAGCGGCTGAATAATGTAACCAGAAGCATGATTGTCTGCAACGTGCTGCTGGGTCCCAAGGGCCCACACGAAGATGGATGCCTAGCAAGGGTTTTCTTTTCACATTACAATTGCAACAGATGGCAGATGCTGCCCAGGTACCTCGGTCAGACCTTCTCCAATGAGACACATTGTTATTCAAGAAGCTGGACCTGGCCTTTTTAATTCTTAACAGCAGATAAAATTCACTTGTGGGATAGATTTACCTGGGAGCACTGCTGGCAGGATGTGGCTTTTTCTTGTAGAAGGTGAAGTGCGATGCTTTAGATCAAAGGCAACAAGATGCAAAAGTTTCTCCTAGGATTCCACTACAGGGACTAACTGAGCATGTGGCTGCTGTTTAAAGATTTAATTAGTGCTTTGTTTTATTGACGTGATCTCTTCTCTTATATCCTTGAGAAATCTGATCTGTGGATTGAGTGTTTCTTTGCAAGCTAATGAAATTAAAGCTGCTGTGAGCAAAGAAAATAAAATCAAGAGCTTGGACTAGAAGGATTTTTGCTCTCTTCTTTAGAGTGGCTCCCATCCCACTTGGTTTTGTCTCAGTTTTTTGTTTTTTTTTAATTTTTCCATTCAGGTTTTGCCATCTTCATTATGCAGACGTACAGTTCACTTTCTGTTATGTGAGAACATGGTGCAAAGTACTTAGTGGGAAAAAAAAATGTTCCACTTATTTTTCTTATCTCCAATCCTGCAAAGGGCTTTAGGAGACTTCTTAAAATACCAACAGTCCTCCCAAGTCATTAAAATTCTTCTGTTGCTGGCTGCCTCTGGTCCAAGTAAATCCTCTTGAAGTTCAAACGTAAAAGTGTTTGTTTCAGCAGTTTTAGCAGTAGGAGTTGTGTATTAACAGCAAAATGGCTGATGAAGTCACTTGCAGGTCAGTGAAAATGTCTTTTTGCTATCTCGTTTATTGAGTAGCAGCACAAGTCTGGAAAGTAATAGAGAAGATTGCCCTTGATTGAGGAATTTTTAAGTAAGATTTTAATTCCTTGTTGCTATCACAGCCTGGGTGACAGACTGGTTATGGAGCTATTAGTCACAGCACTTACGTGAGAAGTTGAGAGCATTCTGTGGCTGCCACAGTGAATTTCTTGTCACCCTTTTATTGTTCCACATTCTCTGGGATATGTTGGTAGCTTCAGTCTGGCTGCTGATTGGGATGCTGAAAGCTGGGCACCTAACTGACATGAGGAGGAAACGTAGACCATTAAAGAGATTCTTCAGGGCTTCCTAAAACTGAGCTCACCTGTCCATAATGCACCAGTAGCTGGTTTATTTAAATAGTTGCCCCAGGGTCAGCTCTTTAACTCTGTCCTCCCTGCATGTGAATGCTGCTGTGCCATTCACTGCCACAAAAGCTGCCAGCAAAAGCTTGCCCTGGTTCAGCAGACATGCAGTAAGTGTTCATGATGCAAATTAAGTCTGGGTGATTTGTGTGTCAGAGACAGAAGAATGTATTTTTATGACTGATATCGTAGTTTTGCTTCGTCTCCCAAGTAATTTGTCAGTGTCAGCATAAGTTTCTCCCTATATATCATGTATATCTCAGGTAGCTCCAAGGAGTTTATCTTCTGGGCTGTACGTACAGCCACATCCAGCCCAGGTCACAGGAGCAGTCTGCTATCGAAAGCTCAAAGCAGCCCTGCCTTAGGAAGCAGGTTATACAGCTGCTTCTGACCTTCCCATTGTCTCAGAAGTACGCTAGCAGATCCCAGGCATAACTACTATAAACCAGCTGGAGTTTCTCTCTGCAATGCTATCACCACCAGCCCTGTACATCCTCACTGCAGTAATTGCCTATGTACTAGAACCATGCTGTTTTTGAAATAAATACATTCTTCCCCAATGGAAAAGAGGACACCATCAACTGGAGAGACTTTGATACAAACACTCCAACTCTGTCTTTTACTTATGGTGAACCAGGTTGATGCCAAAGTTGAGCAGCAAGGCCATTTCTCCAGGGCACGGCCTCCACGCTATCACGCTGTGTTGAGGTGTGACCTTGTCCTATGGTACCTCTTGGTCTTTTAGGTCCCTCAGATGGATTAGGGTTCACAGAGATCAGCCTGAAATAACAGTTCATTTTTCTGCATTTTGCAGAAATCACACATCCATACAAATATGGACTTCTTTTTTGGACAGTTACATGGCTTGCCTGCATAACAATTTGCAAGTGCTGTACTTAACATTACTAAATCAGAATGAAAGCTGACAGAGTAGAAAAGCCTCTGGCACAAGCATTCTTCAGCAAAGTTTTACCTATTATCTCCCCTGAAATCCTTGTAGGTAACTTGAGAAGTGTGGAAAACATAGGTAGACAGTCAGGTGAGAACTGGGTGACTAGCAGGGCTCAAAGGGTTGTGATCAGCAGCACAGAGTCTAGTTGGAGGCCTGTAGCTAGCACTGTTTCTTTCGGGTATGTACTGGGTCTGGTCTTGTTCTTAAGCAGGGGGTTGGACTGGGTGATACATGGGTCCCTTCCAAACCCTTTGATTCTGTGGTTCTGGAGGCTTGCTAACTCAGTAGGTACATAGTCTTTACTATACTTTATGTTAGTCTTTACTAACAAAACATTTAAAAGATAGTTGCCACTTGTGTTAGACATGACTAGTACTAACGTGTGACCCCTTTGCTTTGTTCCAAACCTGCAAGTGAAAGAGACAGTAGGCTCTTCCACAGAGGAGTCACGAGACCATGGAGAGCTTTGTATGCCCTCACAATCACCATACTAGCCTCTCCATCTCTCTTTCTCACCAGTTCTTGCAGACAGCAGTCTATGCAGTGCACTGATTAAACTGCACAGAGGGTCTTTGCAATTGCAGTTTCTATGCTGCTGTCTCCTGTAGTAAAAGGAAATTGAACACACTGATAAGCTGCCAGCATTTTAAGAAGAACCTCCATGAAATGTTCCCTTTTGCCTGTGATAAACTTCTGATAACCAGAAGTGTATGTGAGAGACTCAGGAATCTGCCCATTTGTTTTACTGTTTAAACAAAACCATGTTTATAATTTGCAAGTACAGAGAGAGCCAGTGAGATTTGGCAAACAATTTTGCTGTTAAGTGCACTTACTGTAAATGTTTAGAGGTTGTATCTAGTACAATAAGTATTTAACATGTAATATGGAGCATGCAAGAAATGCCCTTCATTGGGAGAGCTGGTATTTTTGGGTGTGGAGGGGAATTCTTCAAGTAGTGTGTCTGTGCAGAGGTACGAGCTTCCCTGTCCCAGGCACAAGGACAAAATGCAGGGACAATGAAGGGCAGGTTGTTTCATCACATCACAATCATTTCCACTCCTGGTTCCAACCTGCCCACCCTTCTCTTTTCTATGTCCAGACTTGTACCTCTTAACCCCAGGCCTCTTCATGATACTCGGAAAAGTCATCTCACAAAGAGACAAGTCTGCTGCCTCTTCTCTCTGTTCCCTCTTATTTTCCTTTCTCCCTCTCTTCTTTTTGTTTATTTCTCCCTTCCCCCTTGCCTTCCTTTCCTATTTTTTTTCTGTGCATGGACATGTTTCTCCCAGAATACATCCACAGTTTTAATTTAACCATAGGTCGGTTAGACTGGACTGGGGCTAGAGAGCTTAAACATGGAAATAAATATGTTCATGCACAGATTTGCAAAGTCACATGAAAATAAGAAGTTTTAACTGCAGTGCTAGTAGAACATACCTGGTTTATAGCTATTTTTGTGCTAATTCCCACTTCATTAACATTTTAAAGGAAAGAGGTCTCAGGTAAAGGGCTGATTGACCCCTTGCCTTGTTAGAGAAGCTGATCACTTGCATAACAAGCAAAACAAAGTGCCTGCTTCAGCAAAATAACAGCAAATAAAGTTGACATTCCTAAGTACTAATCAATAGGGAAGGGGTATTATTAGTATCTTAAAAAAACATGAAAAGGGAAACGTCCCATTTTTTTCCTCTCCCAAATCTTAATTGGTGATCCACGAGTAATGAGTGCCCTGGTGATGGGCTTTAAATGGCATGGCATATGTAATGTAAAGCAGCCCCATGGGCTTGACTGCTGGATGTAATGATCAGGAAGCCAAAATACACAACTGCTAAATAAATCACACTT